GTGTGGCCAAAAATAAAAACGTAAAATGATTAGGAGTGGTTGTAGGCACACCACCAACTATTATGCTGGACATAATTTATCTGTTTTTTTATTAATTTACATTTTTTAAAATAATTAATTATGATGTTAAAAATATTATTTATAAATTAATCTTAATACATTAAATAATAGATATTAATTATTTATTAAGTATTAATTATTTTTAATACTTATACTAAATAAAAATTAAATAAATTGTGTAATCTTAATAAATGATTGTGTGACTATAATTGTTGCTATAATGATTTAGTGACAAAGTAAAATGGTCTGCAAGTAGCTTCTCATTCGTTAAGCTTTAGTAATCTTAAGTGCTGTTCGGTATTGTGATGGAACATTTTATCTAATCTAATAAATAAAAATATTTAAATTATTAATAAAAAATAATCTTACATTTATATGTACCATTTAAATTTACTTTTCTATCTTGATTTAAGATTTAGAACATTTAATTATAATTAAGATAAAGCGATCCAGCATTTACAACATCAAAAAGTGTCTTATCAAATAAATTAAGGACGTGCGTACATAGCACTTGGCCTCTGGGTCCACTGCTATTAGTCAGGTTGATGGTGCACTGCTCCTCTCTCTTGAGTGGGTTTGAAACCCGTCCTTTGCCAAAATGATCAAAAAAAAGACGTGCGTACATAAAACATACAATTGAGCACAAACCAAAGTAAAAACAAAAAAATACAGATAGTAATAACACCATATAAAAGAAAATGAGTGAATATTTGCCCAGCAACGTATGTGAAAGCTATCAAATCTACTCCTACTCATGGCCAGACACTCCAAATCTATCATATATTCTTTAAAAAAATAATAATAATAAAGGTTAGCATCATCTCTACTGATACGATTGCTTTAAACTTCAAAATGCTAACTAGTTTAAACAAAAAGAAATAATAAATTAAAACACCCAGAAATTGAAAATGATTATCTCTAGAATCCAACAAAATTTTTACAATAACCCAGAAATTTTTAAGTCGAATGCAAAGAGATTAAAAAAAAAAAAGTCTATCATCTTTTATATAGTTCATTATTATCAAATATATTAAAAAATATTTCTACAATAAATTA